TGTTACTAGATAGTTAAATAATCTTTATAAGGTATTTTATATATTAGAAGCAATTATAATTAAATCTGTGATTTTGGAACTAAAATGGTGCTAGTTCTGTGTGAAGAAATGTAAAGTGCTAGTGAGATTCTCCAGCGTCATTGGCATTCCAGCCTTTTCTCTTTCTGTCCAGTGTTGCATTTGAATACATCTATTTCTATTAATAACTTTTTGAAGAATACTCGGATGTACAACTAATGGTTTGTACTTATAAGCCACTCTAAGTTCTTTTCAAGTGAGTTCCAATATTTAAATTTTTTTTAAATAAAGAAAACGTTTTAAATTAGATAACTCTATAGTACGTGTGGCGAAGGGAGGGCCAGGCCGCCTGGCTCAGCGAGGGTGATGGTGGGACTGCAGTCCTGCTAGGGGCTGCAGAGGGGCCACAGCTTCCCTCTCTGACAGCAGCATCAGGGCTCAGTGAGCCTGGGGAACATGTCATAGCTGGTGGTCTTGGACTGGGTTAAAATTTATCTTAATTGCTTCTTTTACTGCTGAAAATCATGTGTTGTCTCTCGAGTATTTTTTTTTTCGGTGAGGAAGATTAGCCCTGAGCTACCATCTGTTGCCAATCCTCCTCTTTTTGCTGAGGAAGATTGGCCCTGGGCTAACATCCATGCCCAGCTTCCTCTACTTTATATGTGGGACGCCTGCCACAGCATGGCTTGATTAGCGGTGCATAGGTCCACGCCCAGGATCTGAACCTGCCAACCCTGGGCCACCGAAGCAGAGTGTGCAGACTTAACCACTACACCACCAGGCCGGCCCCTCTCTCGAGTATTTTAAGCCTAATCAGTTTTTTTTGCTCCTATTCACAATATATCTGAATTAGAACTGCTAAACACAGCTTGAAGATTTAAAAAGTGAATTAGAAGATGTTTTAAAAATCAGTTCACAACATCTGTTGGTAAAGGTAAATATTTTGGGTAAGAGCCAACATTAAAAGTGCAGATATAGGTTTTGCCTCCCAAGACATTGGGTATACGTAGCATCAAAATATCTTCCTCAATATCAAGTTCTGAGACATTTCATTCCATAAACAGACACTGAGCACTTAGCTGAGATGAATGGATTCAGTCCTTGGTTTCTGGGCAGCGGTCTTAATAAGGCTTAGTTCGGGCCGGCCCCGTGGCTTAGTGGTTGAGTGTGTGCGTGCCACTACTGGCGGCCCGGGTTCGGATCCCGGGTGCGCACCTACGCACTGCTTCTCTGGCCATGCTGAGGCCGCGTCCCACATACAGCAACTAGAAGGATGTGCAGCTATGACATACAACTATCTATTGGGGCTTTGGGGGAAAAAAATTAAAAAAATAACTAAAATTATTAAAAAAATAAAAAAATAAAAACATAAGGCTTAGTTCATGGCAGGTGTGGGTGTGTACATGTGCATCTTCAGCTGTCTGGTTTTTATGATTAAAATTAATACATGCACACTGGAAACAGTCAAACAATACTGAAAACAACTTCAAAAGTGAAATTCTCCTCTAATCCCATCTCTAGAGAGAACACTGTGAGCCGTTTGAGAGATTCTTCCAGAAATTTCCCATGTAGATGCCGAAACACAGTGTATTTGCAATTTTTTAATAGGAACAAGATGATTTTATATATATTGTTCTGTGACTTGCTTCCCTTTAAAATATATTTTATTCATTTGTTTGCTTTAACAGTATATCTTAGATGTATTTCTCATTAAATTGCTTCCCTTAACAGTATGTCTGGGAGATATTTCCACATTGAGATAAATAGAAAGAGAGAAAGAGAGAGCTCTTTTTATAACCACTGCATAATATTTCATGATACAGATGAGACATATTTTTTTAAATCTCATTAAAAATGAATGAAATTGACACTTAAAACCAAGGTACTAAAATGGGACCACAAGGCGTTGACATTCACAGAACAAGGCAGAGGGTAGCAATCGTATCTGTGGATTTCCTAGCCCATCTGAGCAGTTAACCCTTTTCCAGTGTAGCTGTAGGTATTTATTAATATGTGTAGAGTATCCTGGGCTGTGCGCACACTCCGCTGCGGCGACCCGGGGGTTCGCCGGTTCAGGTCCCGGCTGCACACCGATGCACTGCTTGGCAAGCCATGCTGTGGTGGCGTCCCATATAAAGTGGAGGAAGATGGGCACGGATGTTAGCCAGGGCCAGTCTTCCTCAGCAGAAAAAGAGGAGGATTGGCAGATGTTAGCACAGGGCTGGTCTCACACACACACAAAAAAATATATATATATGTGTGTGTGTGTGTGTGGAGTATTCTTTCTCTAATTTCACTTATAAACAGAATTGAAGAACTTAATCTAATATTGCTATTAAGCCTATTTGAGGGTCTTCGTAGCTATAGCAGAATTAGACTTTTGAAAGATTTGAGTGATGCCTTTTTCTAGAACTCAAAAACACTGATGCAGGAGAGACAAGGATGCATGCTTCTGTTTCTCTGAATCTTCAGGAAGCCTCTGAACAGATTTAGCAGCCCAGGCGAGTGTGGGTGTACCCTAGTGTGTTTAAGCACAGCCACAAGTAGAGAGCAGAGAACAGCTGAGGTTTACACTGCAGTTCTGGCTTTGATCACGGCTAGCACAGATTCCGGCCATTGCTCAAGGCCACTGGACTGAATGTTGGGGTTGAACCCCTGTATACTGCCTGCCCAGTGGCCAGCTCAGATGAGTCACAATAGCTTCAGCTTAAGGGGAACCGGCTGAATTCGTCAGAGTGTCTGGTCAGGCCTTCCTGGCCTCTGAAGCCCAACTGCCAGCTGAGACCCGCCTTGATGAGGAGCAGGTATCCCTGAGGGGCCCGCAGCTCCTGTCAGAGCTGCACAGCCCCTCAGCAGAGGGATGGCCTGAGGCCTAGCTTCTGGATACCTCTGTCAGTGGTAAAGTCACCATTTCTGGGTCGTGCTTCCCTCGAGGGGCCCCACAAGCATTTCTTTATCAACCTAAACAACCCTCTGAGGAGGGTCCTATTACCCTTATTACAAATGAGGAAACAGCCTCAGGGGTGAAGTCACTTTTCCAAAGGAAGAGTCAAAGCCCAGAGTCTAACTCCAGTTTCCGAGACACTGGTGAACTTTACAGCCATGTACCGTGTAACACACCACAGAAAAGGTTTTTCCTACACTAATTTAATCCTCCCAATAGCCCTACAAGATACCATATTTGCTGGCGAATATCAATAAGTACTAAAACAATAGTTACAAATTTAAATCTAAATGGTGAGGAGAATATTCCAACTCTGCCTCTGACCATCTGTGGTTGCTATTTTTGTTAAGATAGAACTACTTATATAATGTAAAATTCATCTTTGCAGTGATGTTATATTATATTCAGCCACTAGGGCACAGCATCAAATATAATTTTTAGCCGTCAGGGCCCAGTCTTGCATCTGTAAAGGAGGTAAGGTGTTTGGGGATGTGTTTTATTAGGGGGACCAGCTGTCCCGGTTTCCCTGGGACTGAGGGGTTTCCCAGGATGCGGGGATTTCACTGCTAAAACTGAGCAGGTTCTGGAAACTGGGACAAGTTGGTTACGCTCCCGAGTAACGGTAAGACACGCACCAGGTAGTACTGTCATTCCCACTTTACAGAAACGGGGAAGCCTGATGGGGTGACTCGTCCGAGGTCTCACATAGCTAGCTGCTATGTGCAGAGCCGGGCCCCAAAGCTGTCGTTCATTTAACTTGAAGGACCCTGTTCTTAAGCAGGATATGACAGTGCCTCTCTGAACCATTTAGGACTGTAGGGTTACATGCAACAGAAACCTGATTACAGTGGTTAAACCAATAAAGCCTTTCATTTTCTCCCCCGGCTCCACCATGTCGTCAGCAACCCAGACTGCTATTTACATCTTACTGGCCAGAATGGGGTCCTGTGCCCACCTCCATTGCAAAGGAATCTAGGAAAGTGAGTATTTTTATTGGCACGTTGCTGTTTCAAACAAATCAGGCACCTCTTAATAAGGAAGAAGGGGAAAGCAGACACTGGGGAGAGAGCTAGCAGTGACTGCCACATCCTCCAAAGCTGCCCATTAGAACTGAAGGTGTGGTGGGCACTGCTCCGCCCAGATCCCCCACTTCACCACCTCCTCCCCCGGCGGCCGGGAATGTGCAGGCCGCCAGTGCCTCTTTCCCAGGGCAGCCACATCCAATGGCTGGACAGGGCAGGGATTTAAAGCCTGGGGGATTACATCCCTGAAGGGCCACCCCCAGTTCGCTGCTCCCCCCGGGGTCCGTTGAGGCCTTGTGACTGCATTGCAGCCCAGGTCTTCTGCCTCATCCTGCTTCCTCCCCTTCCTTCACAGTGTTGACCTGAAGAACACTCCCCAGTAAACTTCCTGCACACAGACCTGTCTCCGAGTCTGCTTCCTGGGAACCGACCTGCTACAGAAAGCAAGCAAATCCTAGGGGCTGAGGCCTCTGCTGGTCTGGGCAGTCAAGCTGGAGCCATTTATTTGAAAGGGATAATGTATCTACTGATGACAAACTTCTATCACTGCCTGTTGCTGTGGAGGCTAAGTGAGCACACATGAAGCAACAGGAGAAATCTGGTCCTGGACAGTCCCAAGCTGACTGCACAGGGCTGTTCCACCAAGACTTACCATTTGTTGAGCACGTCCCAGGAGGTGGGCACTGGGCCAGGCACTCAACTGATGTCGTCTCTAAGTCTCACAGGATGAGTCGGCATTCGCCAGCTCCATTTTACAGGTAAGGAAACGGGCCCAGAGGTAGCCATCTGCCAGGATCACACCATCAGTAGTAAGTGGCAGACTCGGACTAGAACTGGATCATGCTAGACTGCAAAGCTCCTCCAGCTCCCTCAGCACAGCGCCTGCTCTACCCCTTACTCCCTCACCCTCGTACAAGGGAACAAGTAACAGCCAAGCCTCTACCCTACTCCAGGGAGTGATCTCTGGTAGACATTCATGTTTCTAGCTTCTTTCGATTCTCTTTCCCATTTTTTTCTAATGCAGCATTTCCAAGAAAGTAGGATCATCTTATAATGGGTTGTTTTAGCCTGGGTTTCCCTGAAAGCAGAGTCTGAGGAAAAAAACCTCAGTGTTGGCGTTTATTAGGGAATGTGGTCCCAAGGAGCAGAAGTGAAGGACAGGGAGGCTGAAAAGGGGAGGGGAAGGCAAAGCGAGGATGCCCGCTGAGCAGACCGCCGTGACTGGGGCCTCCAGCCTGCAGGATCCCGGGAAGCCATATGAAATGTGTCTCCCAACTGTTCACCCGGGGAAGAGAAGGGGAAACATTTATGCCCCAGCTCCTATCCACAGCTGGGTCCCCTGTGCTTCTGGATTGAACACTCAAGAGTGCCTGGTGGGTTCACCTGGGCCCTCCAGCATCTGGCATCCAAGGAGCCGTAGGGCAGGAAGCAAGAGAATGAGATGCTGTCAGATCAATGCCTGCCTGGACCTGGTCGCCACAACAGTGGCCGGGAAGACATGAGGCCGAGAGGATTGAAAGTGGGGCAGGGGGTGTGTCTGATGTGAGGGTGATCCAGCGTTCATTGAGCGCTTTATGTGCCAAGCACTGTGCTGTGCTTTATAAGCATAACCCTGTTCATCCTCACAGCAACCCTGTGGCTTAGAAATCCTCACTATCATCTCCCATTTTTAAGATGGGGAAACACTGAGGAGAGGTCACTTGCCAAGGCCTCACAGCCAGGCAGTGGCAGAACTGGCAGTCACAGCAGGCTGACCTCAGAGCCCTTGTTCGTGATCACTACACTGTCATATCACTTCTCATGGGTCCCATGTGCAGTATGTGGGAGGACTTACTAACACATAATAAACACATACTCAGTATTTCTCTCTGATGTACATGGATTACACATTTGTGTCAGCGCAAATCAAATCATCCCATCCTTGTCGAAAACCCTTGGCCCTCCACTGCCTTCTAGAGAAAATCCAAGATCTCTAAGGTGACTCACAAGGCCCCTCGTGGTCTGGCTCCCACTGACCCCTCCAGCTGTATTACCTGCAATAGTACAGGCCAGAGCGGTTGTACACGGACTGTAGTTGTTGACATATTTCTTGCATGCCTGAGAGAGAGAAAAGGGTCTCAGTGGGATGTCAGCTTTGCAGAATCTCTGAAGGAGACAGTCCTGTCGGGAAGTCCCCGGGGAAATCCTCCTCAGGACCTAGCAACCTCCCAGTCCTTCCCCTTCCTCCCCTTCCCCATCTATGTCTGGAGTGTGATATCCCAGAAAAGGAAAGAGCCTTGGAACCATACAGACCGAGTTCAAATCCTGTTCTGTATCACTTCCCAGCTGTGAGACCTCGGACACGACATCTAGTCTCTCAAGGCCGCAGATTCCTCACCTGTGAACAGGGAAGATCCCCCCCCAGGAGAGAGTGCACGCAGCACCCCACAATGGCAGCAACCAGTACTGCCCCCAAGTTACTCTTTCTTTTAACGGCTCTGAGTCACCCAATCAGCTGGAACCAGACTATGTCACTGCCCATTTTTTTAAGTCTGGAAGCCCACCTGGAGGCATAGCATCACGCTCTAGGCACAACGGGGAGATATAATTCCCCGCGCTCATGCGCTTCCCTTTGGGAGAGAAAAGAACTGGAAGCTTCTGAGTCCTGCCTTTGTGCCCAATGCTGTATTTGACACCTTATATAAACATCTCAATTATCCCAGGGGAAATGAAGTTCATTGCTCGTCTTTCCCCATGTTGCCTTCATTATCTTTTTCTAACCTCCATCTTCCAGCTTTAGTTAGAGTCGCTGTCCATTGCTTGCAGAAGCAGCAGCTGGCCACAGAGTTCAGCAAAGGAGGCTTTAGGCCATTGGTCTGGCCCCTCCCTGGCCCCTAGAGAAGCTGAGGCAGCAGCCTGGGAAGTGACATGCATCTCGACAGAAGGCAGATCCTACACTCAGTACCTCAGCTTTAGGGAGCTGCTTTCCTCCATGCTCCTGGGGCACACAGGTAAGGTGCTCCTCCTCCATTCTCCCTCCCCCCGCCATTGCCCAGTGCTGCTGCGCCCCTGGCAGCAGTGCCCAGGAAAGGCAAGTCCTCCTGGTGGGCAGCCGGCTGGCTTCCTCCCAGCTCGGAGCCAAGCACATCTTGGTTAGGCACTCCCCAGATGAGAAGTCCTTTCAGGAGCCTTTCCTCAGAAGCGGGCCAGAGACCGGGGCTCCCATAAGCCTGAAGTAGAGCCCAGGAGGTGTGCAGGGTGAGGATGTGAAGGGACACCACACTGCCCTCTACTGGCAACTCCTGCTGGCCCTGGTTCTGCAGCTTTGCCTCTTTCCTTGTCCCTACACCACAACAGGCCTCTTTCCCAGCAAACTGAAGCTCCCTCTGGTGGCCTAGGAGCCAACTCTTCTCTCCACCTGCCTACGTTGTCTTGAGGATATAGCAGTAGAAACACACTCCATATCTAGATGGTCTCACCCCAACTGCCCTTTTGTCCGACTGATGAACCAACTGTTTAGCATTCTCAACACCTGGCTCCCTGATGGACAGACTGACTCTTAAACTGAACTTCTGGCTGATCTATCTTGATGGACTACTGTCAATCTGAAAAATTAATTCTGAGTGACTGACTGACTGGCTGATTAAGTTTCTAAACCATAAATCATTTGATTGACCTACTGGATTTCTAATAAATAAAATTTTATAAGCTTGAACTGCCTGCCTGGCTGACACTTCCACTAACCAGCTGAAAGACTGCCCAGCAGAGGACCTGCAACACTGACAGTCTGGCTCCATAACTAAGGGTAACAGATGGATGGGAAGAGAGGCTGCCCTTTCTTCACGCCCTGACTCCTCCGGTGGCTTGGAGCCCTACCCTTCTCCCCTCTGGAGCCACTTGAAGACTGCAGAGAGGGCAACCAAGAAACTGACCTACCTCTAGTGAGGTTCTGAACCAGGGCCCCACAGATGGGTTTCAGTTTTGTTTTCAAAATAGTGTGGATATAAAGATGTGTGTTTATCTGGGAAGGGTGTTCTTGGAAGAGTCCAGCACACACAAATATGTTCAGAACTACTGCTCTGGGAAGATCCTCAGCAAACACATTCAGATAAGCAGAGCCCTCACCTAAATCCAAGCCCCATACCTCCCTCCCATCAAGCCAGGGCGGCAGGAAGATAACTAGGACGAGTCAGAGAGTCATAGTGGACATGGATGTAGTAGGAAGGATAAAGGCTGAGCTGTGCGTGAAGTTTCCAGAGAGAAGTCCGAAGAAATCAACCTGTGTCCTTTTGGCCTGGAGGCCACACTTACACCAAGATGGCAGGGCATCCTCAGCTCTGGGCAGAGGCTCTTTGAGCTTTCTGGGGTAGGGAATATGTGTGTATGCGATCATGAGGAGCTGCGTGGCTGTGTGTATTTACACACCAGTGCGCTCACTGGGGTGGGTATAACAGAGGAGCTGTGTGGCTATGTGCGTGAATGCCCTCTGAGTCAATGTGTGCATCTGAATAATTTTGTGAAGGGATTTTCACATGTGTGCTCACTCCTGGACCCCTTGAGTCTTTTTTGGGGTTGAGACAGATTATGAGTCAGAATTTCACTAGGTAAGAATAGAGAATATCTGCAGACATGCCAGTAGCCCAAACCAGAAATCTGGAAATCCTCAACTCCTCCCTCTTCCTGAGCCCTCATCATCCGCTCAGTCCACACTGCCACTGCTACCGTTGGCTCTCATCACATCTCCCTGGACTACTGCTCCGTCTCCAGTGCCCTCCCGGAGCGACTCTTCCGAACCACAGCCACACTGACCTTAATAAAATGAAGTTAGGGCCACAGCGCGCCCCGCCTGAAACTGACAACAGCTATACACTGTCGGGGGATAAAGCCCATCTCCTCAGTCTAACTCGAGGGCCCTTTCAAGGTCGTGGCCCTGGTCATTGGGACTCTAGGCTCTCGAGGTCCCAGAATTTGGACGCGTCGCGCCTCGGCCTGGTCCTATGCCACACCCCAAGGTATGGGCTCTGATGCCTCGTCCTCCGGGCCCTAACGCGCTGCCCTAAGTCCTGCATCTCGGAAACCATCACATGCCGCTGTCATTGCCCAAGGACAAGTGGCAATTGTAACTGATGGAGGACCCAAGTCCGTCAGTCACGTTGCCCCCGGAACGCCTCCCCAACCGAACGAGGAGCCTGAGCGGCCGCAGGTCAAAAACCGGCCAGGCATACACACTTTTCTTTCTTGCGTAGCAGAGCCATAGACGCCCCGACGCGAAAATGGAAATGCGCGTGCGCACAGGGAACAGTAGGAACTATGACTCCCAGAATCCTCCTGATCCGGACTCCATTTCCCAGAAAGCTCCTCGTGGTCCCCACCCCGGAACTGCGTTATTTTTCGGAAAGCGGAAGGTGGGCGAGGCTGGCAGTAGAGGCGGTTTCTGAAGGGGTAGAACGGTTGGAGGTTCTGCGTAGAGTTTACCTCCAGGGGTCGTTCGTGAGTCGGAGACGCCGGAGCTCTGGAGGGAAAGGGCCTGGGCATAGCCTTTCTGCGCTTGGCCGTGCAGTGTTCCGGCTCCCTCTGCCTGGCACAACCGGGCCCGCCTCGGCCTTGCCCTCCCCTGCCTCCCTGGCTCCGTCGGCCCGGGGCCGCTGCAGGCTCTCCCCCACCTCCGGGCGTCTCTGGGGTAGAGGCCCGTAGCTGGATGGTCCCGGGTGCCCATTGTTCTCGCCCTGCCTTGCCTGTCTTCCTCTGGGAAGAAGTGAGACCTTGGCCCTAAGGCCGTAACCCCCAGGGCTCCACGGATGGGTCTCACGGCTCTTCCGCTGCTTCCGGCAGTGGCTGCGGGAGTCCAAGCTGTGGGTAGTGGGGACAGGTGTAGACAGTAGCAGGGAGCGGAAGATCTGTGGTTCCTGACATGCCGCCTCTGTTCCCAAGAAGATGACTTTCCTATGGCACTTGCCCTCTGGCTGTGTACGGCCTGTCCGGCACATGTCCTCAAATGCCTGGACTCTGGAGAAAGTCAGCCTCCTTCCTCAGACCCTAGCAACACCTGTCGGCCCTGCTGCCTATTTGCACCTTTCCCCTCAGAGGCCGCTTAGAGCACGTGGCTAGAAATGCACGCAACTGGTGGGAATGGGATTGAGATAGGGAGTTTGGGGCATTTGAGGGAAGGAGTGGACTAAGATGGAACTGTAGGACATTTGAGGGACTGAAAGTTACTGGAGCAAAATGGGAGGGTTAGGGTGCAGGGGTGAGGGAAGGAGACCCATCATTGCTGTATGTCTCAAAAGGAAGAAATATATGTTATCTCTATGCAGGCAGATGAAGAACACATTTTTCAGAGCTCTGGTTCTCTATGAGAGACGCAACCTATAGTGATTTGTTCTAAACGTGTTAAGTGAAGTGTACACTTCATCTGTTCCTAGGGAGCTACAACCACTGGTAACTTGTACAAGACAGGTGCAACAACTACAGTCTTCTCAGAGTTGCCTGGCACTCTGCCCCTCCTCCTCCCCCTTCCTACTGCTGGTAACTAGGTGTTGC